ACTTAATTGATTAAATTAAATAATAATTTTATATATTATTTAATTTTATTATTTTAAAGTTATAACTACTTTATATTTTTATATATTTGAAAAGTATAAAGTAAGTCAAATTTATAATAAATATTTTAAAAAGTAAAAATTTAAATTTAAATATATAAATATATGAAAATTTTTATTTAATTTATAAAAAAATTTAAAAAATTTTCTTTTTCATTATAAAAATAAATATTAAAAATTTTTTTTATTAAAATTATAATTAATTTTTGATTTAATATAACTTTTAACTTTTTATTTATATACTTATTTTAAAAGTTTAAAATAATTTATATTTATAAACTATAGAAGATAATATGAATAAATTAATATATATATATATATATATATATAATTTTATAATATAATATTTATTAATTTTATAATCTTTTATAAAGAAATTAAAATAAATTATATTTAATTTATTAATAACTTAGTTATTTTTATTAATTTTAATTATTTAATTAATTAATTATAAAATTTAATAATTTATAATCTTTAATTATAATTATAATAAATAATATTAAATTAATTAAGTTAATTTTCTTAATATAATTATTTACTTTTTATTTTTAATTATAAAAGTACTAGTTTATTATATTTTTTAGATTTTAGTTATTATTTTAACTATTGATATAATTTTTATTTAAAAGTTAATTTTATTAAAGTTATAAATATTTATATTTATAATATTATATCTATATATTATATATTATACTTATTAAAACCACTTTTATATAATTTTAAAATCTTTATATAAAGCTTATTTATAATTATATTTATATAAAAATTTAATTTATAATTTCTTATAATATATAATAAATAATTAAATTAATTTTTTTATTATAAATTTAACTTAAATAAAAACTAGTAAATATATTATAATATATATATTTTTAATTTAAAATAATTAATTTTTTTATTTATAAATTAAAATAAATAAAAATATTAAATAATTTAATAGTAATATATTTAAATAAAATATATTTAATTTTATATTAATAATTAATAAAAATTTAAATTAAAAATTTAAAAAATATATTAAAAACTTTAATTTAAAATAAAAAACTATCTATTTAATAACTTTATTACTTAATAAATAATTATATTAAACTATTTATCTTATTATAATAAATATTATAAAAAGTTAACTTTATTAAATTATATATATTTTTTAATAAAATAATTTTTTTTTATTTTTTATTAGTTTAAATTATTTAATTATGATTTTTAAATTTTTATATAAACTTTTTAATATATATATATAAATATTTAATTTTTAAATAAATTTTCAAATTTATTATTTTTTAATTATAAATATTAACTTGATTTTATATATATTTTTAATAGTTTAATGATCATATCTCATATACTTTCAGAAGAATAAATCTCTCTTATTTATGAATATTATTCATTAAACTAGAAATTTTTTTTAATAAAGATTGGCTTTTGAAAATTTATTTAAGAATTTTTATATAAGAATTGATCAAATAGTTAATTGACAAAAATAGAATAAGAAAAACTTTAGATCTTTGCAGCAGCTCAGAGGCTTTTGATTTGTCTGGTTTTATATGCTCTGATAGCTAGAAGAAGTCTCCTTTCTTGATTTAAGCTTGGCTCTCCATGGTTGTTGAGAAATTCATACTTGAATGTAAGTAGGTAATTTGCTGAGTGATCAACTTGATTGCTTACCACAGTGGATTTCAATTTACCCTTCCCAATGCTCATGGTTCTGGCCAATCCTGTTGAAACCAGCAATTCCTCGGGAAGTTGCGGAAATTCTCCACCTATAGGTAAACGTCCCATATGCCTGGGAACCTAGGTAATACCCATCCATCCCTTAAAGTATTTTTGCACCAACGATAAAATCATGTCTACAACGCGGGAATCGCGTGTGCCTTGCCAGAAGTGCTAGTTCCCAGTTCCAGTGACATCATTATCCGCCAATGATAAACGATGCACGGGATATGATATTCCAAGGATGTTTCATGGACGAATCCAAAATGAGCTATAAACAGAATGGAAATCATCACTGTTTGAATGATATACCAATTTCCTTCTGTAAAATAAATAAATTTTTTTTAAAAGGGAAGGGGAATGAAGAAGAAAAAGAAAAGGAATTTGATTTGGAAGAATGAATTTATCAGAAACGGAGTCCTTATCCCATTCCTTTAATACCTGGTCCTTGTTTCACCCTTAGGTCCCTCCGGATACCTCCCTATACCATCAAAGAGAGGATCTTCCATTTTCAATCCTTAGTAGCTCATTAAAAGGACACACAAAAACTCCCGCTCACTGTCCCATCAAAACATCTCTCACCCGCTCTCACCCAATCCCCCTAGGAGGACTCCTCAGCAGCCTTCCGCGCCTTGGCACCTCTAGGCTTCTTCTCCGGAACCTCTTTCTTCGGGCGTTGCGACATTCGAATGGCGCTGGCACGCCCGACGGCCTCTGCGCGGAGATCAGCGCGATATCCGCTCTTGGCAGCGGTGTTGGCGATGCCCTTGTAGATCCTATAGCACAATTTCCGCATCAGCCAGGTTCATTCCATTCCTCTTCACAAAAAGAAAGACGCATAAAGTCCTCCCAGCGCCGAACTTCGTAGTTGCGTTTCCAATTCCCTTTTCTTTTCCTTCTTTCCATCTTCGAAAATATCAAGATTCAAGCTTACTTTCTGTTGGTAGCGGTGGAGCTGTAGGTATTAGTGGTGGTACTGGAGGCGGGCTTGTGGATGGTAGCGGGTTTTTTGGTGGTGACGGCGATGGTTCCCTCCTCAGTGGGTTGGATTCCAATGGCCTATAAGGTTTATCTCATAAATCAATTCCAATCCAATCAATGCCTTTTGCATAACCCATGATGACCCCGATTGTATTTCTTTATTTTCACTTTTCTCCTAACTTTGTCCAGAATATCCCGTACCTTGCAGTTCACGAATCCGGCATACTAAAGTGTATAGGTACCCACGTCAGTTTCTTCCCCAGGAATAAGAATAAACTTGCATTGTGCAAGATAAATAAAATAGCACACCTTTCGCGAGTGCTTGTTGACTAAGTTAAGTGGGTCGCGGGAGAATTGAGCGCCAGCACACTTCACCAGGAACGAGTTCTGGGAGCCTGTTATCAACCCAGTCCATCAGTTAGCGATGATACAGCTGGCGTCTAGCTGGCTTTCCCAACGGCGGAGAATTCAAACAAAATGACGTACGGGTAATTTCCCAAACGAGGTCGTCCGACACATTAGATTTGCCTACGTAGGACATGGTGGGCTGTGGAGTGAGTCGAGTCGAGTCGGAATATATGACAGAGAGATTGGAGAGAGTCTGGGGGACTTGACTTGGTAGACTTGATATATTCGACTGCCTTTTTGCTGTCAGAGACTCCTCACTGCGGGCAGTATATTATGAGTTTGTTGTGTAGCACTTTTGTCGGTGCTGGCTGCCAATAACGCACCTTGCCCCTTTCGGCTCGCTAACATCTCCCGTTTGGGTCTAGACCCGTAGGGGTGGATGGAGCTACTGTAGTTCCGGGACTGCGGTCACATGATGTATAGCTGAGTCAGCAGTATACATGATCGCATTCTTGAGTTAGGCTGAGAAAGAGAGAGAAACATCGGACGACCCTTGGAAGTCGACAAGAGGAGGTTATTATACATAGACAACAACAGCAACAATATGCTCTCTGATACACTCTGAACAAAGGGCCACCAGCAGCCAGACAACAGACAACACCCACACAGGTAACTTCCCGCCAGAGCATGTGCATCCTGCGGCATCCGGCACACAACAGCCCCATATGAGCTCGTGATAGCCTCACTCTACTCTATGTAGCCATTCTTTTATTATTCTTATGTCATACAGCGTTCCCTTCTACCTACAACGAGTGCGAATTTTTCCTATTACATCATCCATCAACAACATATCCGCTCCGTTTGCGCTTAAAACCTCTCAACCCACCCTTACCTATACCCGCTGCATCCGACACAACCACAGACAATCCACATGATGTCTTATCTCCTATACTCCCTCACCTTCCTCTTCCTCATCACAGGCACAGGTAAAATGCCTCCCCTCCCCGGCTCTTCCAAACCACCATCCACTAACAATCCCATCATAGCCCTCTACCTAACCCGCACCCACTGGCTCCCCCACCTCCCGCTACCCAACTACCTCTACTCCCGCCTCCCCACAAGTTTTACTGGCGACATCGAAGCCGGCCTCACCTCCTCCGATTTCGATCTATCTGCCAACGTTGACGAAGGTGATTCGCGCGGCGGCCTCGACGCAGCGGGCAAACGGGAGGTGTTGAAGATCATGAAGCAAAGACGGGTGGATTTCAATGAGGCGAGGAGATTGTATATGCAGCAGAGATTTGTAAAGAATAATATTGGGCCCGATGGGAGGCCGAGGGATCCGAAGTTTGTGTCTTTTTCGTGAGGAAGGAGGTTACTGGTGGAGGATGATGGTATGTGAACATTGGCATTGGCATTGGTATTGGTATTGGTATTGGTTTGACTTTTGACACTGGGCATGACGACTTGGCATGTATTTCTCTTTTCTTTTCTTTTTCATACGTATATATACATCTCTGTTTTCAGCGTATGGATGACCGTTTCAATTTCCCCTCTCCCGTTCTCGCCTATATACCTATAATACACATCCTCTAACCGTCACTTATTTCACTCATGCTTTCCTTAACAACACTCTGTTCCCTTCAACCGTTTTGTTTCCCTTCCCCACTATTTCTCGTCATGGAAGCGATTGGTATTTCCTGTCGTCATGTTATGTGTGTTCAATCTAGCTCCCCTTCCGCTATGTTTCCCAATCTGATCAAGGAATGCTGTCTCACTTTTCTCTCTTAACTGTCGTATGTATAAAGCTTGTGTTTCCTCGCCCGGGTAGCTGGGCATCTTGCAATAGTGACACCAATATCATTCAAAATATCGCCTATCATCGCTCCTCCCCTATTTCGGCTTGTGTAGTAGATAGCGGCGAGATATGGTCCGCCCTCCCGTCTCCTAACACACCTGACCAGCCAATCGCTAAAGAACCCCACTCCGCCGCACATGCTCCTCGAAATTCTGAGTAGGATATCCTAGGTATTCCTCTATGTTCCGTACAGAGTGCCCTTCTCCAGTTCCATATTATCACATAACTATACATAACCAACCACCCGATCAGCGCCCCCTCCCATACCCCAACGGCTGAAAACCGGGTGGAAGCGGAGGCGGCACAGTACCTGGCGGAGCACCCGCAGCAGGCGGTGGCGCAAACCCGGCTGGCGGCGGTTGCCCAAAACGAGGTGGTGGTACAAACCCTGCCGGTGGTGGCCCGCCATAACCCGCTTGGGAAGGAGGTGGACGGGCGGGGAGGCCTGGGGGTGGAGCAGAGAGGGGTTGAGGCGGGTGATGGGCGTGCGGGGGTGGCGGTCGGTGGTGTTGGTGTTGATGCTGCTGTGGGGGCTGGACGTGTGGGTGCTGGTGCTGATGCTGATGTGGGTATTGATGCGGGTGTTGGGTCGGCGGGATGTGTTGATTATGCTGATAGGGACCGCCACCGTTGACGATGGGGATTCCCCGTCCGCCGCCAAAGTCTGGTGGGCCTCCTGCTGCGGCTGCGGTGGAGGCAGGGTTCATACCCCGGCCCGCCGGGACGTCGCCGTCGACTGCTGGAGACTGTGCATGTGTCCCTTGTCCGCTGCCCACAAGTTGAGGGGGGAGAGGTTGCGCTTGGGGTTGGACGTTGTGTTTTCTTGCCTGCGCGGCAAGCATGCGTTCGGCCTGGTCGCCGTGTCGTTCTCCCTTGCCGTCTTTCTTGTAGGCGTATTGGACGGAGACTTCCTTGTTCATGAGGTACTGGCCGTTCATGTTTGCTATGGCATCGTCCGATGCTTCGAAGTTGGAGAAGGAGACGAAGCCGTAGCCCTTTGAGAGGTTTGCGTCGTCTCGTGCGATCTGCGATGTTGATTCCAGAATTAGTTATCTCGGTCAAAAGTTGAAATAGGAAAGACAAAAAAATGATATTGATACCTTTGGAGCAGATATGAGACTCCCAAACCGGCTGAACGTATCGTAGAGGATCTGCTCCGTAACCATGGGGTCAAGGTTCCCGATGAACAGCTCAGCGCCAACCTCGACAGTCTTCTGCTTGTCCGCGGATGCCTTGTTAACACGGATGGGCTTCCCGTACAGGCGGACCTGGTTCATGATGCGGGCAGCATATTCAGCATCTTCCTCACTAATGAACTCGACAAAACCGTAACCCTGGTGTGTCTGGGTGACGCGGTCCTTGGGCAGGTGGACATTGACTATGCGACCAGCTTGCAACATCAGCTCCCAGACCAGGCTGTCTGTGACGCGCTCGTCTAGATTACCGATATACACGGTCGCCTCCTTATCTTGCTCCCTGTGAGAATAACAATGTGTCAGCTCCTTGCTGCTAAAGAATGCGATCTATGCTTGTTTGTGAAATCGGAGGACATACCAATGCCGGACTCCAGCCATGGTCAGCAGATACGACCTCAGAGATCCGTGATTCTGTTCCTAGGGGAATTCAGTCGGACGAAAACAGTTGGATGTAGATCTCAATGAGGCAAACGGTAAAACTGTGAGTACTCGTATACAATAGTTGCTTAGTTGTCGAGTCGTGTGGGTAATTCGGGTTGCATACTTAAATGGGTAACTAATATATTTCTTCTGTCGTTGCATTCTGTCTCGCTCTCGGCAAAACCCTTGTTCCGCTCCAGCACCCTCTGAAGCTCTTTTCTTTTCCAGCAACGAAACAACTATTTAATTTAACCATTGAATATATTTGTATACAGCAGCCACAACCAACAGGTCAACGTCTATTCTACACATCTGAGCCATCTTATCTGATATACAATCCCACTACTCTAGACAAAATGGTCCAGTTCTCCGAAGAGACCAAGGTAAACCACCCCATTCCCGCCTCCTTCAGACTACAGAAGACCTGGGAACTAACCCTCAAATCTCTCTCTATAGGAACGCATTTCCAAGGTCATTGGTGTCACTAGAGTGGCTATCCACTAGTGAGTTGATTTCGTCCGGAAGGTCTTACTATACACCTACTGACCATACCCGTCATCCTGTTGCAGCGGATATTTACCGTTGATCATCTACCTCGGTGAGGATACCCCACCATCTCCCTCAATTATCTATCCTCTTCTCTTGCCTGCAGCCCTGAACATTCAACTAACATGATATCAGGGTATACATATACCGAGCCGCGCCCACAACTCTTCAAGTACTTACATTCTTCCATCCTCCATACCTAGTGTATGAGAAGCGTCACTGACTAGGAACCGCATCGCATCCAGACTCTTCTCTCCCCTCGCATAAGTTCAGCCAAATTGATATATGAAAATGACATGGAACTCTGGGTTGTTAGAGGGGAAAGAACTGGCGTTCAGCGTTTGTCGCACAAAAGCAGCAATTAAACCCCAGGAAGTCTTTTCATATCGGTATGAGAATAAGAACGAGCAAGCATAACGCAAGCATAACGCAAGCAGGGGACGGGTTCTGGGTGCTGGGCACCAGGGATTCCTCGATTTGTTTCTCTAACGTTGGAAGCTTGTACTGTATATTAGATCTCTCTCTTTTGCTATATTACTTTGTTATGCTATTTTACTGTTTATGGAGAAATCAAAAGGTACAGAAGGTATCATTTACCGGTTTCAGTTAACCAGCAATTGATTGATTTTTTTTTTTTAATTAAAAAAAATTCCTGACTTGACGAGGATGAAAAGAGTTATACATGTATATTAACATTTATCAGCTGCTTTCGATACTAGTAAGACTGTATAGCAGTTGTAGAGCATCGTCGCTATCATAGCTCTGTCGTTCTTGCTGCTGGTTTGTGCTGTCCTGGAAAAATATTAAGCATCACGAGCATCAAAATTTATGATTCAGAAAATCTTTCCGAATATTTACCACTTCATCACTTCATCCTCAAAATTTCCGCTGCCACAACCACCACATCTGCCCAAATAAATAAACAGGCCACTTCGCCTCCCTTCCTCGAGTCGAAGTGTCCTCCAAGGGACCCTCCTCAATAGAGTCCATGAGTGTTAACCATGGTCTCTCTCCATCCGCTGTCGAGACAATAGCCGGCTTCACAGCCGGCATTGTTTCAACCCTCGTCCTCCACCCGCTCGATGTGATCAAGACGAGACTCCAAGGTACTGTTATATTATATCATTTTGCCCTTAGATGTTCCAAGTAAAAACTAAATTCACCTACCTCTTGTCTAGTGGACCGATTCTCCTCGTCGCGCATCGGAAGTTCCATGCGCATTGCCCGCAACATCGCACGCAATGAGGGCGGCTTCGTCGCGGGCTTCTGCCGGGGCCTCACCCCGAACCTGGTTGGAAACTCTGTGAGCTGGGGCTTGTATTTCCTCTGCTATGACAACATTAAAAATTCGTTGCGTGTGCTCCACGGGGAAGGGGGGGAGGGGTTGAGTTTATTGGATTACTTTACTGCGTCTGCTACTGCTGGTATGATTTATCTCATCCGTTTTTACATTCGCTGTATGTATATATGTACATAATAACAGCGCACTCCACTTTAGGCGTGTTAACAGCCCTCGTTACCAATCCCATCTGGGTCATAAAAACCCGCATGCTTTCCACTGGCTCCAATGCCCCTGGCGCGTACCCCTCTCTGGCCGCAGGCTTGCGTGCCATCTACCGCTCAGAAGGGATCAGGGGCTTCTACCGTGGCATTGTCCCCGCCTTATTTAGCGTGAGCCACGGTGCGCTGCAGTTCATGGCCTACGAACAGCTAAAACAATACCGCGCCGGCACCACCACCACCGCACGGCTATCCCCTGCTGGATCATCATCATCATCATCAAGGAACGAGCCTAAATTAAGCAACGTCGACTATCTCCTCACTTCCAGCGCGTCCAAGGTATTTGCGGGCTGCGTCACGTATCCGTACCAGGTGCTTAAAGCGCGGCTGCAGACCTATGATACTGTGGGAGCTTATAAGGGCGTTACGGATGCTATTAGGCAGATTTGGCTGCAAGAAGGGGTTTGGGGGTTTTATAAAGGACTGGGGCCGAATTTGTTGCGTGTGTTGCCGAGTACGTGGGTGACTTTTCTGGTTTATGAGAATGTGAGGGCTTATTTTGCCCAGGGCGGAGAGCGATAAGGGGGTAGGGGGAAGAATTGAAATGGAACCAAATGGTGAATCAACAAATATCAGACACTGCATTCCATCCTCCTGCAACTATTTCTCACATACCTCGGAGTACTGGAAACACTCCACAAATATGTGAATCTTTGGGAACAAGTAATGCACCCTGTGTTAAGAATACGCAAGTGACTGCAAAATTTTGAATGCTGGTTGTCGGCCGCTGATTTACAATATTTCTCGTATCTCTTCTTCTCTTCATTGCTTATGCTTCTGTGGTTTGCCATCAAACAATCTGTCTCTTCTAATCTGAAATTGGCTTCCTGTATATTGAACTGCCCACAACACACAAAGCAACTGTTCACAGCATACTCCATTACAAGCCTTTTTGATTTTAATGAAAAATAGATATGCGTTTTTAATTTGCTGTGTGGCGTTTCGAAATGGATTATATCTGCCTGCCGTCTTTTGACAGCTTTCAACCACATGAACTGGCTTCCTCTATTTAATGCGTATTGATTGGCTAATCTTCCTCAAGAATCCTCCTTGCATAAACACCAAAACCCTCTCCCTGTTCAATTGTCACTGATATCTAAATAAAAAATGTTGCTACCTGCCATTTGAGCCACTTGTGATGCCCTTATTCAATTCAGTTTTATGTCTATTGCTCTTGACCCCCCGAGGCCGATGAGTGGCGATAACGTAAGATATACATACACACCTTACCCTCACACTCTCGCTCCTTGGTTGATACACGGATACATTGACAGGATTGACACCAGGGGAAAATATTTCAATTGTGGCTTGCCATGCATGCATGTACGTCGGTAGGATCCGGAAAAGAAGAAAAAGAGAAGGAGAATAAAGAGCATGAAAGAAGCAACAAGATGTGTTGTTCTTGTGACTTTGATGAAACGGCCCTTTTGTTGTTTTTCATTTTCCATTCTTCATGCAGCTCCGAACATGAATTCGTACATGAGGATTGTCAAGGGGTATCAGAGGGGTGGGTTAACTGCAGGTTACTGTAACCCCAACCCCCAAATAACTCGGACATTTGGGTGGCTCAGTGACTCAGTCACTTGTGTCTCCCAGATATTACATCCCCTCTCCTCTTCCTCTTTTTTATTATTCATTTATTTATTTATTTTTAAGAAATAAAAAAAAAAAACCTACAAACCTCCAATCCGACAGCTTCTGGATTTTTGTTATGCCGTTGGCCTTGTCATGTACCCCACTGGCCGTGGTTAATTCTTTTTACATGCAACCCAACAGACCAGCCAGACGGAACGATAAAAACACGAGAAAGCAATCAAGGCCTCCGCTTGTGCGATGCAGATAAAGTTGCAATCTGGTCATTGCTTACTACGCAATTTATGCAGACAACAATTTGCGAGGCGTCGCGATCGAATGGGCAAACAAAACAGCCTTGCCTTCGGAAGTGTGCGGGACTACCCGTATCCACTCATCCTGCTAATGCCGTGTAGCGCAGGATGTGTGAAACAGGGCAGTTATGTGCTGAGGAGCTGCAACTTGCAACTCCCTCTGTATGGAGATGGGGTGTTGCACTGGAAGCACTGGCTGCACGGTTGATGTGTCTGGAATATGGATGGTTCAATAACGGATTGAATGGTTTGGACAGTTGGAAATCCCCAGTTATGGATCAGGTATTTGCTGAGAAGTGAGTGCTTTGTTGTCCGACCCCATCTTTAGTAGAAGTAATTAGAGGGGCAACGCCGCAAACCCCTGCTGTTCCCTTATTTCGGGGTTCCTTGGGCCCGCTCAGTGGTTGATCGACCTGACTTGAGGAATTCCCCTTGATTACCAAACGTAATCTGTGGTACGCTGCATGTCCCACGTCATCTATTTCATCATCAGACATCAGAGGTGATTCAGAACCTTTTGCATTGCATGTAGAGAGTACAAGCACATACATACATACATTTATACATACATAATTTATACGAAGTTCGAGCATTGTTGTAACTTAACTGTTGAACTGACTGGACTCCATCCACCTTCAGCTTTTCATTCCAGTAATTTGAATCTCAAGATCCATTCCTCCTCCCTGATGGTCCTCTTAATTAGTTTATACACGAACAACCACCACCAATAACATATACGTATGCAATTCATGATATTTTGTGTTTTCGTGTTGAAAAGGATAAGGTTAATGAAACGGGCTAACCACGATCTCATGCTGCAGCCGTGCAAGCAACCCTCCGTTACACCAGAAACCACAGACTTCGAGAAAAAAACAAAATATGGTTTCTCCTCCAGGGTCGATTACGATGAACTGTTTCATCGACAGAGCGTAATTAACTCATAACTCTCCCACCTTACGCCGGTAAATGATTTTTAGAGGAAGGGAATAGGTTTTGTCGCCCAGACCTGGTTGCAGTGCCGGATGTCGCATGACCCAGGAACAAGACGAAGCCCATGAAAATACATCTAAAGAAATGCCCAACCTGACAAAAAGCGTCGTTTAAGTTAGTTTACTAAATACAAGCGGAGACCAAAAATGAAACTATCATAAGATCGCAGCTCTGCCAGCAGCGTCTGAACGCTTTGACAATCCACGCCGTCGATCGTAGCCGCCAACCAAGGCAAGACAGGGAGCTGTTTTAACTATTATGAGTTAGCAATTCGGTCAAACGCTTGATCCATCCATGCGGAGCTACGCAGACAGTGTCATCATCCTATCACAAGGTCAACAATGCAAGAAAATAAAGCTCCACCGGAATCAACAACAACAACAACAGAAAAAATATAAAATAAAAATAAAATATAAAATAAAATAAAATAAAAAATAAAAACTCTCTCCTCTGGATTCCACGTCTTGCCCCAGAAAGTTGGAACCAAAGACGCGATTGGACGAAAATTTAGCTTCGGGTCCAGCGAAAACACTTCGTCTCTACAAATCCACTCCTGAGCCCTTAAGTGATGAGACAAACGATCGTTGCCTGGAAATGAACGTTGCAATACGATTCCAAATTTCCAATGCAATGGGAAGCATTCTAGCTTCGAGGCAACAGATGAAAACCGAGGATCCATGCTTGCAGTTAGCTGTCTAGTTCAGTGGACTACTGCTGAAACGCAACACTCGATCTGAGCGGGAGAGAAGATATAAAACCCCATTAAATATTATTCCCGGTGGTTAAGTTGCAGCAAGGGCATGATTTGTCTCAGAGACTTTTTATTTATTATTTTTATTTTTATTTTTCTATTTTTATTTTTATTTCTATTTATTTATTTATTTATTTATTTTTTTCGTGAGCTGGAGTCTGCAGCTTGCAGCTTTGGGGCAGGTCTTATGAAACTAAGGCAGCTAAACGTTACCTTCCTGTGGGCATGGATGATGCATGCATGCATGCATGGATAGAGATTCTTATTATTACTTCAAGGCACCTGGATGTAATTTCAGGGCCGTCTGCTCTGTGGTATTTTGATATCGGCAACGGGTAGTTTTCTCCATCCATGGACGCATGCTCTGAAGTTACGGAGCCCAACAACAGTATATCTAGCATTACCGTATGGGTAGCTGGCGAGATTATATTTCCACGATCTACGATGCTAGATCCAAATTCCACGCACCAGTTTTCTAACGCAAGCAGATGCCAACGGCGAAAAAGTATAAGAGACTTTTTCCCCCCCGCTTCCAATCTTGGAAAATGCTGGGGAGATTCATTTGGGTTAGATTGAGTGCGCCGCCCAAGGGAGGGAGAAAGTAACGATGTGCACGGTTGCAGCTCGACTTAGGTAACTAACTCTGCCTGACCAGATGCATGAGAGATTTATTTGACTCTGCCTTGGGATTTTCATCAGTTCATTCTGATCTCAATTTCAGCACATGGCCAGCGTCTGCCCGGATGCAATTGAATTATTTATTACTCCGCAGTACTCCGTCGTATTGTTATAATAATTATTATTATTTCCCATACCATAGAGGCACATACCAAGCTTCAAGGCAAAAAATCAATATCTCCAGCGCCCTTGGATGACCAGCTCTGTAGCCTGTAGCCTCTTGACCTTAGCTTGCATCACCAAATCTTCGAGGCCCTCAGCCCGACCAATAAAACACCGCAAATAGAAATTGACAATTAATCCAAGAATCATGTATCCGTACCCTTGCCCGGCATGACCTCACTCCCCAACACAACACAGTTTGCGCCCACCGAGCAGGTGGAATCCAACCAATTCCAATCCCAGGGCCAGAAAGGTGGAGAACGTAAATCTTTTGCCTTTTGTGATTGCTCCTTTTTTTCTCTTGTTTTGTCTGCAAACCACCAACGAACCCCCTCCTCAACTCTCGGTCATTGTTGGATCTTTCATTTTTATGTGTGCGACCTGGCGTTGAAGTTCGGATGCAGGTGCTTCGGCCTTCCGTGGGCCATCACATCACATCAACGGTGGGAAAGAAAAATAGGTCACATTCCAATGTTTAAAGAGCAGCATCGTGAGGACTAATTGAAAATGAGTAATTACCTATCTCAGGCGAACCAATCGATGGTAATTAAAGAAAAGAATGTCCGTTTATCGCAGTCACCTGAACCATCTTCGTACCTATTACTTCTTTCAACCCCCAACTCCAAGCACAGAATTTTGATCTGCGGATGATCTCACTATCTGATCTGTACCTGTTGATAAATAGATCCACACACCACTCACTCCCCTAATATTATTATTATCATCACTATCACTAGGCCGTTGATTGTTATTGTTTCTCTTTTTTCCCCTTTTCCCCTTTTGCCTTTTTTTTTTTCAATTCTCTGGGGTGCAATGTGCATTTTTCTCGTGCACGTGGTGTTGTTGGTTCAGCCTGAAGCTGACAATGAAACCAAGTGACGCCTTTTGTGTTTCCTATCCATGAGCAACTTCAGCATTTTATTTATACTTCCGGATTGTGGTGTCTCTTGTGCCATAGTTACAATTTAACAAAATTCCATCGTTTCTCTGCTCCTTTGTCCAACGACACATCTCTCCCCCCTCTTCTTTCCACTGCCATCAACACGCCCAACTACTATGTACTATCCCCGCCCATTCATTCAGCCTGACACAAAGAGGAGGAAAGCGAAAGGAACAAACACACCGATTAATTATTCGGGGTTGGTTACGCCACAACGGCACTATCACCATCATCAAGCTCCCGTCCTACACTTACCTGCTGCATAGAGATAGGCATTGGATGAAGGGAGAAAGGAGGGAGGAGGGGGGTGGGGTTGGAATATTTCAATAATACTGGGTTTCTGAGTTCTGAGTGTCACAGGGTTTCCAGCTACAGCCACAGCTGCAACTCGAGCTACACACATCTGCGACAGATATATGAATGACTTTTGCTGTTGGGTGGTCCCTTTTTTTACCTATTTTGACACCTCGTGAAAGATGATATGCACCCGTTTGATTGAGGCCATAATAATAATAATAATAATAATAATAATAATAATAATAATAATAATAATAATAATAATAATAATAATAATAATAATAATAATAATAATAATAATAATAATAATAATAATAATAATAATAATAATAATAATAATAATAATAATAATAATAATAATAATAATAATAATAATAATAATAATAATAATAATAATAATAATAATAATAATAATAATAATAATAATAATAATAATAATAATAATAATAATAATAATAATAATAATAATAATAATAATAATAGTTATTACTATTAGCGAAGCTTGCTCCTTTCAGCGTCCTGCATTGCTAGCTAGGTTCTTCATGACTAGCATGATGATGACAACAGCTGCGTATTAAATCCATTCATTTTGATATCAAATGTCATAAGTATCAAAAATATCTCATCATCAAAGGGCATCAGGGGGATCATTCACACTTGTCATCCCTCATTGCAAATACCATATAGCTACTAAGCCCCAAAAAACCCCTCATCGACGCCTGAAATCGAGATCCATTACATGCCTGGCAGTAAAATCTTTCCTTATCTCCCCTCCTTTCTTCAACAGTTGGTTGGTTGATCCTCAAATTATCCCAGCCCGTCATTCCCAAGCGGTGCAAGTCAGCAACGAAGCCTGAAGGGCGTGGTCACGGGGAGGGGGGGGGGGGCTGGGCTGTTGCCATCTATACAACTACAAGCCATTTTATCCCACCCCGCCCCCTGCCCCCATTCCACCCTTCCATCTTTCCTTGCTCTCTTCAGATCCATCTCTCATCCACAATGCAAAGCCAAGAAGGTATAGTGAAGTGGGAAACATGAGCAGGATACTAAGGCAGACGGTTTAAACTGAACAGGGGTTATGTTGGGGGTATCAAATTTCTGTATAATTTTTTTTGGGGGGGTTTATTTTCAACTGCTTTTCTTTTGGCTTCCATTCTCTCTCTCCTTCTCTCCGCCTCTCTCGCTTTCTCGGTGCCATGTCTCCCATCCCACACGAAACCTCCGGTCATGCTCATCTAGTATATTCACCCGCAGGAACAAATCTCTTTGATCTCTGTCTGCCACATCATGCCATCTCAATAAATAACAAAAGCATCATCAGGTATTCATCGATCTTTCTGATAAAACAAAAACGCATCACACATTCATATCCCTCTGAATAAAAAATCAACATGCATTTTCATACACAGTTGCAAATGGATGCAAGCGAACCAACCCCACCCTCCTCCCCCCACCCCAAAAACACAGTCTTCTCTCTTCCTGTCCTTTGCAAGCCATTTCTCAACAAAGTTCTTCCATAGACTGATGCCATCGAATCATTTGGCACGCGAGTCCGTCACGAAACATCCATGGATGGTACAATTCTTCTTCTCCTTTTCCATTTTTCTGGAATGGTCGAAATCGAAATCTCTTCTAGGGTTTTTTTTCTCGACACCGGGTAGTCGGGAAAAAATTCAGAAAAGACATATTCAGGAATTTTGGGGGTTTTGGTGGATGTCGAAGATAAAAATATAAAATTAAAATGGAAGAGAAGAAAAGGAAGAACACGAAAAACAAAGGAACGACGCAAGGGAATTTGGGGAAGGAAGAAAAAATATATTCAGAAACAGAAAAATAAAAAGACAAAAAAAGAAAATTGAACCACCCGATGATGCATCACATGAATTCGGATCTCCCGCTTGCTCGGTAGGCAAAGGCGAAAAATCATATATAAAAAAAGGGGGCCCGCGCACCACACCCCGCACCGTTGTAAAAGAACAGCGCTTTTTGTTCATCGAGGACGAAGGCGTGCTTTATTTCGTGTGACACATTAGTCTCAATTAGCTCATGCTCAATTCCTGACGTTCAATCAAGGTGAGCCATCATTTCATCTTTCGTAAGCGGCGTGAAGTTGTCAATGTCGAGGCCACGGGAGAGCAGGTCGGCACGGGCGTGCGGGGGAATCAACCTATGGTTCAGGGTTGGATTGATAGAGAGTTCTGTGTGTTTGTTAGAAATAAATACTGAAACAGATATATAGCTCAGCCTTACCATGGCGTGAGAAATCAAAGAGGTTGGGAAGTGGTCTGGGAGGGGAATTTGGGTGACGAGAATCCGGCAGACGCGTATTGGGATCCCGAAGCTCATCAAAGAAAGGATGGCACATGGCTTCAATGGCAGAAAGGCGTTGGGTGGGGGTATACTCGAGGAGGGCTGTGATGAGATCAATCGCGTCATGGGAAGCTTTGCGGAAGACCTGGTTTTTATTTTTTAAAAAAATATAATCAATTATCACTGTATCCACTCCCTGTTACTACCCAGTATTGTCGATTTCTTACCTTGTTGAACGGATGTGGCTTAATCTGCGGGAACTTGTGTTCCATGTAGTTTGGGTTCATGGTCCGAATCTGATCACGGGTCGGGGTCCCAAGCACTTTGATGATCTCTACTAATTGGTCAATGCCCGATTCGCCGGGGAAGAGGGGTTGACCCAGCATCAGTTCCGCCATGACACAGCCGGTTGACCACACGTCTGTAAAACTTTGTCAGAAGAAACAACATGGCACACGTAATTTGTTTTGATGAAAATTATAATAATAGTAATAACAACAATAATAAATGCTGTGTGCGCGAGCTTACCAATCTTGGTGGTGTAGTTGGTGGCACCAAAGATGAGTTCCGGCGAGCGATAATAGCGAGAGCATATGTATGACACGTTTGGCTCGTTCTCGACCAAGATCTTGGCGCTACCAAAATCGCAGAGTTTCAGAATTCCCGTGTTAGGATCCAGCAGGAGATTTTGGGGTTTGATGTCACGATGGCAGATACCCTGGGAATGGATGTATGCAAGGGAGCGGAACAGTTGGTAGGTGTAAAGTTTGACCTCCAACATGGGCATCGTAGTCTTCATCTTGCTGAAATATCGGGAGGCACGATATACGGTTTCAGGGACGTATTCAAGAACCAGGTTTAGGTAGACCTCGTCCTTCTAAAAGATCATGTGCAGGCGGCAATTTGTCAGACGGGGGATATTTGTAGAACATTTACGTTCGGTTACAATAGAGAGTTATGATAACCAATGGCATGACAAGGCATATGATAACCAGAGGATGAGGAAGGAGAGGGCCTAACAACTTACTCGATCTCCATTGGAGTAGTAGAAAGCCTTCAGCTCGACGATGTTTGGATGGCGTACGATGCGCATAATCTGCAACTCACGATTCTACAGAGAAAGTTAGGAAAGTTAATTTCCGTAGCATATATATGGAATGGAGATTATGAAGAAGTAACCTAAACAAACCTTGAACCGTTTATCCTGGAGCACTCTCTTGATAGCAGCATCTTCTCCAGAGGGGGAGATTTTGGTTTGGAAAACAACGCCGAAGGAGCCATTTCCCACGATTTTGCACTGGGTATACTGCATATCTCTAGTTTCCCCCGTCAACCCATCCTGCACCTTTTCGCGGACTACTTCTGTTGGGAGGGGAAAAAAGATGACCTATCAGCAGAGTGTACACAAATAGACACTAGAGAAGTAAGAAAAGATGTAAACCTACCCCCCATTCGTAAGCTGGAGAACACCCCGGGACGAGTTTGTGACATGGCTCGGTCTGGAATCCAGTGTCCGAGAGGATTTTTGTAGTTGGATATTCCGTTTGTTGCTCAGGCCTACCGACGAGAATCAGGCGGATAATGGCTGAGCAAGGAGTTTCGGGATCTGTGGAGAGAGGCGAATGGGGATCCGTGTTTGAGGCAGAAGGTGATCAACTCTGATTCAGCGAAGATGGAAGTTCTGTTTGCGGCTTGCGAAGGGTCAGAAGAACGAGTTCTGAAGAGCAGAAGATGTTGAAGAGGTTGGGAGGCTGAGAAGTTGATGGAGAGAGGGCGATGTTTTGAGGGCTGAGGGTCGAGGGAGAATCAGACAAGCTCTAAGGAGGGGTGCAGAGGAGTGCAGAGGATCGTAGGAGGAACAGGGAAAGCAACAGGTGAGAAGTGAGAAGTGAGAAGTGTTTTGTGTTGTGAGTGTGAGTGTGTGTGTGTGTGGGTGGGAGTGTGTGTGTGGGTAGATGTGTGTGTGTGTGTGGGTGGGTGGGTGGGTGTGTGTGTGTGTGTGTGTGTATGTGTGTATGTATGTGGGGTGGGTGTTTGTGTGTGTGTGACTGTGTGTGTGTGTGGTTATGGCACAACCAGCAACAGGGAGATGTGAGAGGTATGGTATGTATTGCTAGGAGTATTTATTATGGAAAGGAGATGAAATAATACCTAGGTAGAAGGAGGAGAACCATAGAGAGAATAGAGAGAGATGGTGTTGTTAAGGTAGGTTGTTAGGTTGTTAGGGAGAGGAATCGTCGAGGTTGACGTTGGGCCAGCAATGGCGGAGACACGGGAACCAGCCAGGGAGACAGGGAGACCAGGTGAGACCAGAGAGAAGCTGGAGGGAACAGCCACCACCAAACAACAAGCGGGCGGCTGGCTGACAGCAATGGCAATTGGGGTCGCAGCAGCAGCTGGGTCGCAACAGCAGTTGGGCAATAGGCACCGGGCAATGGGCACTGACTGGGCAGCGGTGGCAGTAAGGCGGACTAGGTGCAGCAATAGTTTAACTGGCAGGACAACGACAGCGGGAGGTAGCGGATAGGATAGGATAGGAGAACAACTCCAGGAGTTTGAACGGGAGTGGGTGTGT